GTGATAAACAAATAACATGACGCGCACTTATATTTGTAGCTATAAAGCAAACCTCTCCCAGTGAGCACCCTTCTTCATTCGACTCACCTATATGTTCCAAAACTATACTTGTAGGACTAAATTTCCATTCTCGCCAAAAAGGCATATTCGCGCATAGTATTCTCCAACCGCTATTCAGCATACCTCTCAAAGTTTTACCCTGATTATTAAGACACCTCGGTGTTTAGTCCTGTGATTAACTGACAAAAAAAGGGAAGTGCTTATTTTTATTCGTTTTGGCCGAAAGGGTCCATCGTGAAATTGTTGTTTGCCTGGGAGTCTTGGAAAATCACGGTCATGGTTAGCGAGTTATCGGGAAACATTCGAACTGGTAAAGTTTCTGTTATTTCTTCGGTTTGAACACCGGCCAGTCTTCTGGAACGCGTGGTACATGTATGACGTAGAACTATAAGTCCTCTTTTTGATTTTCCAGGTGAAAACTGTGAATTATTGTTGGTGACTTGATCGCGAAACTACTGATGTCTGCAGGATTCTATATAATTCGCTGCGAAGACTGTAATAAGAACAAAGACGGTTATATATTATTGCACTGACTGATCATCTTCCATGCAAATCCAGGATTATTTTTTATTATATGCGGGTTCCTTTTAAGTGCTTAACAATGAAGTCGCAATATTGAATGACAAAATTCTTCGTTGCTTTTCGGAATAACCAACATATTTTTGACCTTAGTTGACCCAGATACCAGTTAACCATCGAGTGCCTTTCGTAATTCAATTTATGCGAGACAATAGAAGTCAAATATCAAAAAAAAACTCGAAGACGACCTTTTCGACTAAGAATTTTTGACAGAAAAACTGACTACATTTTGCGACCTCGTATATTTGCCCGTCGCGCTGTTTTTTAGTGCACGCATAAAGAAACAGGGCAGCTAGACAAAAGTTTTCGTCGACCATAAGAATTGCCGTTCTGATTTGGCATAAATATAGAGGTGTCTTACATCATGATGTCAAGTCTGTTCTCTATGAGTTGGAACTTAAGGGGTGTTTATCCAGTGCCAGCATAACATATATCACTACTTAAACCACTGTGGGATCTTTTAGGTACTTATCACTTGTAAAAAGTTGCCGTTTTTACATTAGTTCACTTATTCGGATTGTTTTCATTACTAGGTAAATAGTGCCATCTTTATAAGAAATGTTTAAGTTTGCGCAGACCGCAAAAAGCCCATGATATATAATTTCTCAGGTGCAAACTGATCTTTGCGCAGACTAAAATGCGTGAAAACTCTCTTGTAATCTCCGTATTAACCACATTTGCAGATCATGCAAATTTTTGGGCAGTGACTTGGTTGGTTGGACTGTAATCTTTTTTCGTTTTCAGAAGTTTTCGGTGGAACATCTTCCACGGCGCATGATAATAAAGAGAATTTGGCCACTGGACAACTCGGAAATGTTTACACACCGGGAACATCGAACAAATTCGCAATACAGTTTGTTTCCGAAGCGCTTTCTCATATGCAAAGAAAGTTGTCAGCTGACTTGGATCCTGTGGATTTAAAACAGACGCTTATGTATGTGGAAAAATGCATACGCTTCGCTCCGTTAAATCCTAACTTTTATATTTTTAAGGGAGAATTTTATGTTAAGGTAAGCCTGAGGGTCTGCTGGTTAACATAAGGACACTTTAGTTCAGTTCATTACGCCTACGGCCAGTTGTCTGTTTGATAGGCGGCTTACACATTTTTAGCCTTTTGCTTGTGATGTAAACAGAATGTAAAGCAGAAATCCTCGTGTTTCTAAGTTCTTTTCTCGGATTTGTTCCCGGCGTTCACTCATGTATTATGATTCTTCAGCAGGGAGATCTGTCTTTTGCCATCCAAGAGTACCGAAAAGCGATAACGTGTATTTCCTACTGTTCAAACTACGAAGTTGAAGTGAAAGCACTGACAGCGAAGGGGGACGAGATAACAACTTCCGCGGACATAAAGAGACGCTTTATGGATCTAAATTGTGCCTATGGCCAGGCGCAAATAAAGGCAGAACAATTTGAAGAGGGTCTGAACAGTCTCAGAGCAACCACGTCCATGGCTGAACAAGTACAATGTGAGAAGTATAGAAGTGTAATTCACCCTGGAAATCAGCAAATACTTAAAAACACACTGGATGCCTACATCGGCCTTAAATTGTTTGCAGATGCCATAAACCTGCTTAGCCAGAAAATTCAAGAATTGAGGACACTTCTACTTCAGGATGTCGAGGACTCTTTACAAAGGAGGATCCCAAAGTGTAAGTTCTCCCTATGTACGCATGACGTACTGATGACCGATAACGACTGTGAAATGGCTGTCTGCGTCTGGCCTGTCGCACTCGTAGTAAGCCGCTTATGTTCTGTATTTTTTACCTAAGCAAGTGCGATAAACATAGGCTTTTGGTTACTGACGAAAATCGTGATGAATAAATGTGGACAGGACCTATGATCTGGTCATCCAAATGTCCGACCGATTTAGTTCGTTCAATCAATTCAAGCATAAGATTAGCTATGACCATCTCATGAAGCCCTCCGTAATGTTTCTACACATTCATGCGGGCATTTGTCTGTCCATCTAATCTTTCCACTGGTGAAAGTGAATAATTAGATTGACCTCACGTGTTTAATTAACGTACGGGACTAATGCTACTGAGTAATTATACGTAGTGATATTTTGCTCAATGTGAGTTTTGTCTTTAGTGCACAAACTTAAGCTAGTACATTTACGGGTAAAATCTCCTTTGTGGGTGCAGTTAATCTAGACCAAGGATTGTGTCGCGTCACTGGACCTAGACTACATCATTAGGAAAATAATTTAATGACGTAAATCTCTTAGATATCAATCGGCCCTTTAAAACTTTAGCAAATTGGCATCTGTCCATGCTATGCTAGTTAAATTTTTATAAAGCTTCCTTAAAACTCAACAGAAAAGTAGGACCCACCTAACTGTTCGACGTAATTGCTGAAATCATGGTCAAAGCAGAAACTGTTAACTGAACAATAGACCAAGTCCCCGAGGTCTGGAACAATCAGGCGTCGCTAGCTGAGATTAACTCAGTGCTCTGACACCAGTGTTTCAAACGTAGGAGTATAACTTCGTCAAATTTGTCGCCAGTGACATATAAAAATAAAAACTGAGAAATTTATAAATATTTAAAGGCCCCTTTCGTCCGACTCGATAGCAAAAATGAAACCGCCAGGTTAGGAAAACTGGAGTTATGTGTCGCTCTGCCGTGAGCGGTTGACAGGATTTGTTACTCGACCGCCTTGATAACATTATGCCTATTTTCTATCTTTTTGTATAAATCCGAATTCCGCAATGATCCCTCGTAGGAAAGCAATAAAGTCATGTTGTGTTTTGTCATAAATTTAAGTATGCAGGATGAAGTTACTGTTTAAATGGGGTGTTGAGAAGCAGGTCAGCCGCAGAAACTGAATCACAAACGAGAGAAGTCTATATGTATGCTTTAGCCCATAAGAGGGAAGGGACCGCATGCACATGAGTCATTCATATGCACCCTCCATTCTAAAGCTCATATCTGATGACAGCTCATCCTATCTGTCAGACTCGTCGCAATGCTGCCGAAATTAATTTCACATTGGAATACAAAGCAAGGAAACGTGAGTGGGCACTTGGTCGAAGATAGTACTTACCTTAACAACTATATCCCGAGTTCGCCCAACAGCATGAGGAGCGCAAAACAGGAATATGAGTGTCAATTAGGCTGTAGGGATAGCAGAATTGAGCAAATCCGACCGCCTCCTATCCTATCAAAATGATCAGGATAGGTTGACAAGACAGAATTAGGATGACCGGCACGGACAGAATTAAACAGCCAACCTACGCGTGCCACGCACGACCTGGCCGCACAGACGTGAGCCAGGTTTTCACAGAACAAATGGGGAGGATCAAATACTCTCTGAGTGGAGGTGCTGTAGAGACCACATTTAGAAGGCACAGTTGCAGCCTGACTGTCCATCCTGAGAGGAAGACAGTTGTCCCGTTCACGACAACGGCATTAACCGCAATGGCGACATCCCAGACCAATCTTGTACATTCGATGAGTCTCTCATTCCCAGCAATACAAACTCCCCATCCACCAGCGCGGCTACCACTAGCAGTACCACCACTACAGCCGAATAGCAGCTCTCAACCTATCTTGCCAATGTTGCCACCGGACATACACCTTGCGCATTGGCTTGTTCAGTCACTTGTAAATTCACTGTGCAGAGAGTGGCGAACCAGTGTCAGAAGCACCAACATACACCTGCCGTAATCGCCCCAACAGCCCGCACTGCCCACGCACATTCACCCATGGCATGCATCCATTCGGTTTCTTGCGTGTCCGTGCTCGTATGCGGCAAACCATCACGGACCAACCAATGCCACTGCATGAACCACGTGCGAACCCCTTCCATATCATCTATCACAGGAACGAAACCCACAACTCCATCCTAAGTGGGAAATGTGATGTTCGTTTCATTCTCTATGTGGCTCCTCGTTACTCTGAAAAGTGTGAGATCCGAATAGCCCAGACTCCTTGTGTGAAAACCTGCTGTGCTGTGGCGGCCCCAGGTCGTTTCTTACGCGAAGTTTTATTTTTTTCAGCGACTGCGCTCAATTTCAGTAGCAGTTGGTTGATCGGATCGCGCAAGCGACTGGCTCACGGAAGAGGGAGGAGGGGTTATGTCGATTCTTGGCGCATGGTCCTCCCTAGCAACAATCTGGCGCACTTTTAAACTATTACGCTACGCTAAAAGTCGTGACTTGGAAGGTTACCAACTGACGGGATAACTGTCCTCCTCTCAGGACTCAGTCTGACTGCAGTGCCGCCTAAACGTGACCCCAATGGCAATCCTCCTCAGATGGCATCCTTCCCGTGCCCTTTGTTCTGTGGGAACCTGGTTCATCTCGGTGCGGCCAGGTCCTGTGTGGCACGCGTAGGTTGGCTGTTTGGCTTTGTCAGCCGATGGACCTCCATCATGCCTCCGGTCTTCTTGACTCCGTCTTGATACGGGGCTCAGGTGGGTGTGGAGGAAGAAAGTGTGGTATATGCAGCGCAATACTACCGTCACAAGCGTTGTTGACGTTAGCGTTGCCTGTATCGGGTTCAGGGCTACGGCTTGAGTTTAGTGTCACGCAAAGTGAGTTATTTTTGAGGTTAAGTTTGCCAGATTTAGGTCAGGGTTTGGGTGTGGGGTTGAGTTTTTAGTTTGGAGTAAGAATTCGTATTAGAGTTAGGGTTTCAAGGCTTGAGTGAAAGTTACGGTTACGTTTAAGTTTCACCCAAAGGATTACGGCTCAAGGGTTAGGGTTTTCATTGTAGACATGGTCACAGTTGGCTTAAGATTGTGGCTTGCTGCCGTTTTCCCAATGGAGCTATATACCATACCCTTACCTAAATTCATGCGCAAGTCACCGTGCCCGCGACCACCTTGCTGTGATGCGAACAGTGGACATCGTTGATAACCATGGTCGAACTGTCGCGGTAGATGCGCTGGCCCAGCACGGGAGCTAATCGAGGTTTGCCTGGCGTTATTACGAATGCGTACTCATAGCAAATACCGACATTGTTGATGTGGTGACGCCCCCGGGTGCAGACTCACATCGCGCCAATTTGGATCCGAGCCGCCCGCCTTTTTTCCTGGTGTTTGAAATCTTGGTCAGCGTACGTTGTATATCAGAAAGTGTGGTGGTACGCCTAGGGGCAGTTTTTCGCTCCGTTAGCCACACACGTCATCCCCCGGCTCCCGTCTTCTTGACTCTGCCTTGACAGCGAGCTCAGGTGGGTGAGGGAGGAGAGAGGGCGGTAGATGCTGCACAAGTGTACTATCATTATGAACTGATTCACACACAAGTCACCGTGCCCGAGCCCATCTTGCTCTAGGAAAAACTGCTTACATCGTTAGCGATGACAATCTAACTGTCATGTGGCTTACTGTGCGCAACCTTGCTAAGAGGTATTCCCGTGCTGGTTCACCGAATCTCCTGCGCAGCCTATCGTAGGAGTCATTATGAAACTATCGACTGCATATAAACCTCACTTGACGACCACCTTTAATTACCTCATTTGCCCGGCAACTTAATGTTTAACCTGCACTAATGCTCCTCATTTGTGTAAGTAAGCATGTATTCACGAGCGCTTTTTCTCTGATTATCCATCTAGCAACGCCTCGCCTCACTCTTAAGCTTACATCTTCTTCAGATCTCGCAGAACTGTATGCGCTGCGCGCAGAAATCGTCTTCAATCACTTGCGTTCAAAAATCTTTCTGGTTATCTCTGACATTCAGTACGCTCTGGAGCTGGACCCATATCAGCCTGCGGCCAACCGGCTGTCGATAAAAATGCAGGCTTACGGACAGAGATTATGCGCGCGGAGCCAATTTTTATCGTCAATCGGACGACCAGAGGACGCTCAAGTGCTGGTTAACAAGGCCGCCGAGCTAAAAACACTTAGAATCCCACTCCGTCTAGCGGAGGCCAAAGCGCATCGTGCTGCCGGGAAACTGACTGAAGCGCTGGAGGACATAATGAACCTGGTGCAGGATCCCACTTTCCTAGCAGTCAATGAGCTTACCACTGACGTGAAAGCCGAGACAGCCAAGGAGCTCTTATGCACCCTGGATAGCCTTGATGTAAACGATTTCTGCCGTTGTCGGTCTTTTGCCAACCTCGACTACTACAGCGAAGCTCTGGAGCTGCCTCCGAAGGACTTGAAGCTCTACATGCTTAAGGAGGCCGACTGTTTGTTTGCGCGCGGACAGACATTGGAGGCAATCCGCCTCTACCACCAAATGAGGAGTGTCTTGGCTGCAGAGGCCAGTCTGACTGCTAGGCGTACTGAGGCCTACGTCGGCCGACGAATCTGTTTGGCCTGGCAGGATCTGGCAAGGAAAGCATCCGCGGCCAGGGATTGGGAACGTGCTCTGGAATGCCTTTCCCGAAGTCTACTTTTCGCTGCTTACTGCCCAACACCCTGGATTGAACGGGCAGGCCTGAACTTTCTCTTTAGGAGAAAAATGGAGGCTGTAGAGGATACGCGAACTGCTCTAAGCCTACTCCTACGTATGAGAGCTACTGGCGGTCTCCATAAGCTACAACAATCTAAACTGAAGTCTCTTTTCTCAACCTTCTGTCCGAACTTTGGCAAATTATCCATTTAAAACTTGCCTTTAGAACTCAGAGATGATGAGTTTTCCTATGAAAGTTGAAATACTGAAGAGACGTTCGTCTGTTGTACGCTGTTCGAATGAGAATTTAACTTCTTTTCGCAGGTACTTATGCAGCAAGTACGAAGACATATGAGTATCTTCGTCTTTTTAAACTTATAGTCGCAATTGACGTTGACTGTATCATATAAGTCATGATGTATTATTCTTCGGTTTTTGTGATTATCAACACAAGTGTGAATCCGGACCTTCCATATAAATTGTCCCGGAACGATGTCAACGTGCCGCACAATAATTTTTTTTCGTTACTGAACTGTATGTCCTTTCCAAGAATTGAGATCTCAGAAGGAATATTTTTTATGAGACTTAGGAAAACGTACGAATCGGTAGCTTCGCATATCCGTTTCCTACTTTAGAACTATAAGCACATTAAGAATTGACAACTGTATTTGAAAAATACAATAGTCTGCGTCGAGACTATGCTTCGAACCAAGTACTTAACCTTTTGTGCGTTAACGCTGTTCGAGTGAAATATGAGCCGGACTTCTCGTGAGACCGTCCTTAAATAGTTTAGGAGCAATATAATTCGAGATGCAGCGATAAAAAATGTAGCACTTGTTATACTTTGACAGAGCATTTTTTGAATGATTCGTTTCTAGGGGCAATTGTCGAGGAAATTAAGTGAGTGGATTTTTCGTCCCGATGCTTGCGTGGCTTCTTCGTGTTTCTTTACTTAAAGCATTTTAACACTCAATGGAATTTTACTGAGGCAATCAATTATCTTATGCAATTATCCTGCGAAGCAAAAGATGTCCTTATTTTTGATTTGATAGTTCTTTTGAGCACACTCCGGGAAGCAGGCCCTCTTCTTCCTTCAAAAGATTTAAAAAGGTAAAATGGCAACTCGGTCGATTTTTCCCGACTAGCTTTTCAAGATAGCGTGCTTTCAAGGACGTGTGACACTACTTTATGAAACGCAAATAACTGAATCCAGATGATGGCCAGAAAAGGTCTCCGACACTTTTATCCCAGAAAGAGCATTATTATAATGTCGCAGGTCAGTGAAGAGACCTTAGCAGTTAGCTGCCATCTAGCGTTACACATATTGGGCGTGAACCAGATTTCGGCACAGTCTACCTTAATTAAAAAGTGATTCTGTTTATTTGGATATGCATAACCCTTACAAAGGCCCTAATGCAGCTCCTACTTATGTTTCTGATTTCTTATACGACGACTGTCGAATTACGTAAAAATTTTTGAATAGTGGACGATTATTTATTTGTATTTCAAATAATCATAGCGTAAAATGTAGAACTGAGTCCAAGGTTATTTGATCCTGACAGGAATTTTTGTGTTATCACTTTCTGTTTGGCGGCGGATCAGGTGAGTGCGGGTAGTGAAAGTTTTCCTCATTAATGACGCAAATTTACTTCTCAGAAAATAAAGGACTCCTATCCATTAAACTAGACTTAAGCTCAGTGAGTCGGTTTATACGAACCACTTGAAGAGGAAGAGCTGTAGAAATTCGATGTCTTTCAAAAGTAATATTTAAGCGTTTTCTGAAATAAATTAACATGACTTTCAGAATTAATTTTTGGGAAGTTATTGCTGGCATTTTTAGCAGTTTAAGAGGTGTCCATGAGAGAATTGTCTAACACTAACGAGATAAGATGACATTTTGAGGGTTCTAACGCGGTTTGTATAAAGGAGACAGGAGTTCTCAAGATATAAATTAGGAAATTATATAATATTTTATAAATGAATAACGGCCATGAGGTCCCAGTCAACGAGGTGGGCACAGCCAGGGCTTCGCAGAATTTGTCTATAGTGAGGCAGACTGACGTTACATATGTTCCCGTTTCTCTGCTCGGATACTCTAACAGCCGAAAGCTAGGAATACTTGAAACTATGGGCAAAAACAGACGTTTATCAACAGAACTTAGTTTTAAACTATTGATAGTCAGAAAGCGAAGACTGATTTTCAAAAGCGCACATATGGATACTGTATCCTGTTTTGGAAAGTGGATTTTTCGAAAACTTTTAGACGGTCTTCACAAAACTATGTGCCCTTGCATAGCATCCTAAATATTCGCACAACAGCTGAATAAATCATGGCAAAATGGAATGATATTTTATAATATACTTTATAATCCATTTATAATATCTAATAAAACAGACCATCTGCGGAAGCTACTTTAAGTCCAATTGGCGCTCGATAAAGGTAAGCACTTTAGACGTATACTTTCATTAATTTGTTTAGTTTTCGCACGTTTATACAACTGACGATATGGGACTTATCTGAGGAGCAGACATCCTTAAAATTCATAAAAACGGGATAGCATAGTCCAGATAAAGTGCCTTAAATGTGTTTTTTCTAAAGGAAGAAACCAATTACATTATCATGGCAAAATTTGGCCCGCCAATGCCTGACTGCCCCAACTGAAGGAGTCAATTCCACAAGTAAGGCGATCTAAAATTTACACCTGTTTTCAGATTATAAATACATAATTATTTTGGATCAAATAGCGCCTTGCTAGTGTTTAAAAATGACCAAATTGACGTTTCCACTTTCGAAGGCAGGATGGGCAGATTACCAGATTCCTCTTATCTCTGCCAGACAAGTTCGGCAATAACAGTGATGTGAGATCAACATATGTAGATATTTTGCATAAAGTCAACATGTGTTGAATATTGAGATGCTCGAACAGTTGAGAATAAACATTTACCAGTATCAAGATGGACAATTTTCATAATTACTCTCAGATGTAAGATACCTAAAATCTTATAGCCCTGCGTATAATCAGCCACAGTCTGGGCAAAAGTTTGAGAAACGTGAAAAGTGTTGATACAATTATTTCTGTCAGAAATGACTTTGCGGACAGGTTTAAAATATTACTAGAGACACAAGTGATAATATTATCTTTTACATGGAGATACAGACGTTACAGAATGCTCTTTTGCGCAAATACTTCTCTTTTGCTCGCTAGTGCATGAAATTGACGGTCGGGGGATTACCATCTTATCTTCCGTACGGTCAACGGCGGAGCTTGTGCCTACTAGATGATGAGGATAAGACCACCTCTGGTTCTAATTTCTCAAACCCAAAGTGTTTTCTGCCTTTACAATCGCATGAGTGCTTTTTGCAGAGATTTGTGGATCACTCCATTCAAGACGGAAAGGAAAAGACACTGCGCATTCATTGATAATCCTTTGTTTATTTTTCCGCGGGATCATTAATTAAACTTGACAAATGGGCAGATAACAATCAAGTAAATCAAACGAAAATAGTTGACAAATAAACTTGATTTTACGTAATGCTTGAGTGATTGTTATCTGTTTCCTCTCTTGGCCCATAGAATTCGGCGGAGCAATTTTGTTGCTTGGAGTTGCTGAGCAGGGCATGGCTAATGCTCTAGTAGCGTTGATACATTTGACGTCTTTGAAAAGGGCTCAGGGCTATTTAAAGTTTCTCAGGTCTGCGTGTGTATCGTTATATTAAGCGCATTCTAGCACACCTGACAATAAAAAATGTCCTTTGTGTGAGCTAAACGTTTATTATATGTATATGTTGAACGTTATGGCATTGGCTGGAATGTGTGAACATGCGGCTAATTTGAGGAAAGTCAAATGTATCCACCGGTAACATGTTGGTACTATTTGACCGGAAATAAACGCGCGGATGCTCTGATTCACGCAAGAATTCATCGTGTGGGCTTGCGGTTCCCGTGAGGCAAGAACACTTTCGAGCTCTCTGCTCGCATTTTATGCCTGCGTTCTAGCCAAGTTCAAAGGGTAAAAAATGGGTACATAAGCTCCTGTTAAGCAAACCATAGTGAACACTTCTTAGTTGTATTTAGGAATTAACCTTATTTATCATCTAAGCAGCTAAAGAATCTCCACAGTTTTTCGAATTCCGCAAAACGGAACAAGTATATTTAATATACAAATGTGACCGTGCAAATTGTCTTTGATCCTGTACATATAAAGGAACAAGTGGGCGTTCGAATGGCCGCGCCTTAGAAAATCTTACTGTCGATTATACTCCCCCCTATATGCTGGATAGATTTAAAAGTACAGAGCCAATCATTTTGGCCAGAGAAAAAGTGTTGGCTCAGGATACATGCAAAAGCGTATCCTATTACCTCAAGCAAACAAATATCACTCTCCGATACGCCTATTGGAATTTTAAAAAAACGAGTAGTTTCACTATCCTACAACCTTTGCGTTGAGCATTTCCCCAATTCCTATCGCAATATCCAATGATGTCTTTCGTCTCAGTCACCGTAGAGGCCGAAACTGGCTTGGTATTCACCAGTTCTGCCGGTAAAAGAAAACAACACCGATTTAGAAATTACTGATTATGCCTTTCGTATGCAAAAGTGAGTACTGATCTTTTGTACCTCCCAACAGCCTTCGGTTGCCTACTATACATTCACATATTTGCAGATACGTGGGGGCCAACACAGAAAAGGGAGAGCAGTATGGCCTTTTCTGGTCTATCAGTCGTCATCAGCCCAGTACCTAAAGGACCCCTGTTTAAACTACAGTTCTTCCAAATCTTAAATAGGGTGTTGCTGGTTGACGAAAAATTAGAAATCAGATGCCATTCCAGTCTGCCTTGTCTTTGTAAGTATCTCCCTTTCTGCCCAAACTAATGGCCGGTATGTAACTGCAGTAACAACGGGAGGAGCACCTTCCGTAACCTGATCAGTGAGCACTCTGATACAGGGATGCCTACTGTTGAAAATGCTAAACGCATATGATTCTTCAAAAGACAGTTTGGTGAGCATACGTTTGCTTTCGATAATTTCTATTCAGGCTATTGAAGGAATGAATTAAAAGATACGGCAAGTAGATACTTATGCTGTAGCTCGAGTTTGGAAAGGGGAGGGGAAGGGGACAGTGAAACACCACAATCCCTGTCAACGTCAGGGAGAAGGAGGGTCCCGTCGAAGCTAATTATATGCGGGCGGCTGGCCTGGTGGCTTTGACCC